TATATATAACAGCAGCTCATATGACTTTGGTGTCATTTCATTTCGTGTTTGTTGATTATAAATAAATAAAAACAAATGTACGGGCAGAGTTGTAAAATAACTAAGTGCAAATACTTTGTTACTGTACTTAAGTATAAATTTTGGTTATCTGTACTTTACTTGAGTAATTATCTTTCAGCATACTTTTTACTTTTACTCATTACATGTAAAAGGTAAGAAGAAGAAAGTCGTTACTCCTATTTTATTCTGAGTTATTACTTAAAAAAATATCCTGATAACTTGTGTCTCCTGGATAGAGTGAATTTAATTGTGTTTGGATGAGAAGTATAAATATAAACCATTCTGACAGTATTACTTTGTACACAACCCATCACTGCTGCACACTGTTAGAAAAAATATTTTTKGGAGAAGTCACCTCCCAATAAATGTTATTTTGGAAAATYTAACTGCTCACTTTTACTCAGTACTTTCACTTTTAATACTTAAGTAGATTTTGTGTCAGAAATTTACTTTTGATACTTAAGTACAAAAAATATCAGATACTTTAAGACTTTTACTTAAGTAATATTTTTAGAGAACTTTTGAGGTACTTTATACAACACTGTATGGGGTCCAGGGGTTAGAGATACTTTGGTGGCCCTATCATCATCGTTACTAAATTTCAATGCAGAATATTTCTACATGAAATGTTTCTAATCACAAAGAGCAGAATACTCTTGGCTTTCATTGATCTGAAATTTGAAGCACAGAAAAAAATCCTTTAAAATGATTAAAGTTCATGTACTTTTTAAATCAGCTATTGTTCCACATTTTTCCCTACAAAAATGGGTGGGCATAAATTCAAAAATCTTTTGGCAATCATTATCTGTGACAAAGTGGAGAATGGATCTTCTCTATATATCTATATAGGGCTTAAATAAGCATACACATTTATATTTAGTGTAAAATTTGTTTCTATTTATTGTTTATTCTCCATTTCTTTGATCAGATACCTACAAAGTTTATTTTATTTTATCAAAAGCTCCCATCATGCACATTTTGTGCCAAGAACTTTTTTGTTCCACTTTTCCACCACTAGAGGGAAGAATTACACTTCCAAAAACATGTTAAATGGTCTCCACAGCTCATCCAGATGTTGCTCAGAAATGATCCTGTCTAAATTTCATACACATCCTTTAATTAAGGTAACTCAAACGATTGATCACTTCGTTTAAAGCTTCCAAGAAAACCTCAAAAACATGACGAATGTTTGATTTTTAAGTAACTATTTCCTTTTTAAACAGTCTCTGGGTTTCATACATAACCATGTTATAAAGGGAATTAAAGATAGATGTGTTCTGTGTTCCTCTTTATACTTTATCACAGACTGATGTTGTACATCCTTGTGAACACACACACACACACACACACAGCTTTAAACCTTGGGACATCTGAAAGGAATAACACATACACACGACTTATTTTGGCAAAATCTGATAAAACCTCACAGACCTTTAACTGAAGCATTGAACAATCAGAGCACAAGATAAGACAGGGAGAAGASAAGACATTTATTTAAAAAAAGGAGGAAAAACACACAAAGGGAAAAGTTATGAGAGCTAGCAGCCACGGTGCACCTCACAATGCTTCTCGCCAAAGTTYGAGTCTCTTCTGATCTTCTCCCAGCTGCACACCGGCTTTACAGGCCCCTCTCTCCCGTCTGATCTAACTTCAGACACTGTGGGGCCTTTTGACAACTTCCAAACTGTCAAAGCACCCGAGGAATCAAACACCATCGCACACCGACTAGATCAAAGAGTCCCAGGTAAACGAGACAAAGAGAAGTGCTACCTGAAAGGGGAGGGCGGGGGTGGGGTGGGCTTTCATTTTAGAGGCTATTATTTCACGTCTGCGGACACAAGTTCTCTGATTAAAATGAAGAGAGAAGGAGAAACAACGGAGATTTGAAGCCACTACAAGAACCCCAAGTGACTTTCAAGGAAACCTTTGGTTTAAACTTGATTTGGTTTTGAGAAAGTGTCCGTCTCGAGGAATTTCAGGTTCTAGAACAACTCTCTCTCAAAAACGACATGACAATGTGAATGAACGCTAATATTAAACCCTGTACATTTTTTTGCACGATTGTTTAGTTTGTGGTGTTTTTCTTAAATAAACGTTCATGTGAAGCTTGGATTATACTTCAATACGTRAGACAGGCAGGTTGGGGATTGCATCATTTCAGACGTCTTTTTTCCTGACAGAGTATACAGTAAATGGGCTGAAGTTGCGGTGGGCCAAATATTATCATAGATTCTCCCTCTGCCCTCTTCTACAGCTCATATATGTTTAGAAACAACAATAATGCTGGCTGGATATTGTGTTTTATTTTTCACTCAGTGATCAGTGTTGCGTTGTGTGAAAAGGAAAAACGTATGTATTTTTTTAGTTGGTGATGGAAAAAAAAACGTGAACATCAACTGCATGCTCACGTTCAACAGTACGAAACAGCTGCTCTTCTAGCTTTTTTAACAACAGGCTTCAGAGGAATAAAAATCATTGTAAACAAAAGAACACACAGAAGGAAGAGCTGCTCTGGTCCTGCTCCTTAGYGCTGCGTTGCTCCTCATGAACAAACACACCCACGAAGTTCTAACCAATCACACGCTCCGAGCTGCAAGGTCCGCGTAGCAGAGTTCTGACTGGGGGCAATGCACACGACGGCTGTCACTGGGGGATAGCAGTGGGAGAGCAGACGGACAAAATCTCACAAATTACACAGTTTTTATACGTCCTGGCACAGATTTTTGAGGCTTGTCTGCCTTTGGTTTGGTGAACTGCCTGAACACGTTGAAGAAAAAAAAAAAGCTCACTCATTAACAGTAACTGCTCAATCTTGCTCACATTATTATAAATATTAGGAAAAAATAAGGTGTGGAAGGCTAGAACAACTTAAAATAATGCACGTGTGAGCAGCTCTGAGCCATCACAAATACAATATACTGTATTCAGTGTTTCAAAAATCCCCCCCAAATTATGAGCTTTTGTCCAAACATTGTACTGCTAGACCATGCAGCTTATAAGGCTATGAATG